ACTCGATAATTATCTTAAAAATTAAATTCTAAGATAGCGATTTCTATAGATCTAATTAGGAGTCTATCTATTATATAATTTACGTTTAAATTAAACTTTACTCTAGATATATCGTAGTATTACTTCTATACCTTCTTACTAAAATACTTAAAATTCTTAATTATTCTATTATAATCGGTTTAATCGTAATAAATCTTATAACGCTCGAGATTATCGCTATCTATATATATATAACATATATAGCCTATTATATTCTATTATTAGCTATATTAACGAAGCCTTCGCTAATATTACTCCGCTAAGTATAAGGCTCTCTCTTATCCCTTAACTATAATTAATATTAAGAAGTCTTAAGTCGATAGTCGAGTTATTCTTATATATGCTTATCTCGCTAAATAAGTTTTTACTAAAGAGATATAATTTATTAAAGAAAAACGACTAAAAGAAATAATTTAAGAATTATTTTAACTAGATATTCGCTAATATCTTACTTATAATTATCGTCTACGATATTAAAATAGGCTATTAAGACCTTAATTAATTACTATTAAATAAACCTTATCTTAATATCGCTATAGCATCTAAAATATTATTTAAAAATCTCTAAAAGTAGAAGAATAACGATTATCTAATAAGATTAAATATAAAATCCTCGAAATACTTCATTTCGTCTTTATTAGATCTTATTTTAAAGTATAATAATAGTTAAAAAAGAATTTACGATCTTTTCTTTCTACGACTACACTTTATTAATTACTATATTTATAAAGTTTACGAAGTACTTAAGTATATTATATTAAACGATATTATTAATATCTTACTTACTTAGAGCTAAAGTATAATTATAATTAAATAAGACCTCGCTAACGCTTTTAGATATATCTCTATAGTTAAATCAAACTTTTAACTACTATATTTCTTTTAAAATAACTTCTATTATATCGATAGATTCTTACTATTTAGCCTACGTATCGTACTCTTTATTTTCGATCTATTTACTAAGATCCTTTATTAGATACTTATTATTATCCTCTTCTAAAGTATTATATTCTACTATTTAAACGATTTCTTCGCTATTCTTTCGCTTAATAATAATATAACTTAATTTAGTAAGAACTTTAATATTATCTATAATAATTATAATCTAAAGATAAATTATATTAAAAATGAGAAAGATATTTTTATTAAATTTTTAGAAATCTAATTTAATAGTGAGAAGATAAAGATTAAACTTTCTTTTAATAAGTTAGAATAGATAAGAAAGTCGATAAAAGTCCTTCTAAATAAAGGAAGTATCTTTTATAACGAGCTTAAGTTAATAATAGATTTACTATTTTTTTTCGCTAAAGTAGTAATCTCTAGTAAAGCTTTTCTAAGAAGACTTTATTTTATACTATTTAAAAAAATAAGAATATTATTATATTATTATCGTAATTATAGCGAATTTACGCTAGTAAAATATTTTTCTATCTAGATAGAATAAGATATATCTATTTTATTATATAGCTATACGCTATTATTATTTTATATAAATAGACGCTTCTAATAAACTCGAAATAGAAGAGTATATTCTTAAAGATATCGCTACTTATTCTAAATTAGATAATACGTTTAGTATATATTTCGCTATTCGCTATCGTAAGAAGAATATCTAATTTAAAGAGATACTTATCGTTCTTATAGTTATTCGTAGATAACTACCTCGCTTATACTAGTTATATCTTACACTCTACTATAATAATAACATTATCGTTAAGAATATTTATAATAGTTCTATATATAAGTTAATTATAATATTACTTAGATAAATAATTATGCTATTCGCTTAATATAATATCGTTTATAATATAATTTAAATTTCTATTAAGTGAAATACTTTAGTTAACTTATTCTCTCGCTTTAAATTTAATAAAATTACTAATTTACATTTATAGCTAAGCGCTTTTAACTTATATAAGAATTATTAAATCGCGATTTATCTAAATTATAATATAAGAAGACTTCTCTAAATTATAATATTACGAGATATCTCTAATAAGATCTAGTTAATAAAATGAGAAGTAGCTATTAAATAACGAAGGTCTTCTATATCGAATTTTATATTCTATTAAAAATTATCGCATTTCTTATTATTATTTAATTACTTATCGACTAAATAATATATCTAATTAATTATTATATTTAAGTTAAATTTATTAAGATCTATCTTATAGATATTTAATTAACCTATATAAATATAAGATTTAAGAATCTCGAGGTCTTTTACTATTTACTATTATAGCGAATAATTACTAATATTCGCAGATTACGTAACGAGGCCGATATTAAAAAATATTATCTAATTATATAAGATCTATTACTCTATATTCTTATCTAATTTAATAAAACTTTCTTAGAAAAAATTATCTTATATACTTCCTTTTATTTTATATTTACTATATTTCTTTATATAAACGAATTTATATAATTCTAGACTAAATTCGAGAATAGCGATTTCGAATAATAATATATTATAAGACGTTTAATTACGCTTTATAGTTATTATATAAAGCTATTTCTATTAGTCTTAAAGACGAATCTATTTAGAAGAGAGATTACTTTTATCTATTATCGCTATAAATAATAACGTCTATTCTATTTATTCGCTATAAAACTTATTTACTCGCTTTTCTATTAATAAGTTATCGCTATTATTTAATTTAAATAAGATCTTTATAAGATAATATATTATCGCTACGCTATATAGCACTTTATATATATTTAATTACCCGAGTTACTACTTAAAACTGTTACGAGCGTACCCTTGACACACCACTCAGCCCTATGGCCTAGTGCCTTGGCAGGAGACATCCCCTACTATATTATGCCTCCTTCCTACATACATAGTTCGATAGCCTTATTATCCTATTCTACCTCACCCATACTGGTATCGCACCTATGCTGGTCCTGACATTATAATAAGGCTCCTTCGTATACCCGGCGAAGAGAAATGCAATCGGACTCACTCCATTCGAATTAGCGGACGAATTCAAAGAAATGCGCTGGCAGGGGCTTTGGCAAGATACCAAGTTGAGCCATCGTATCCCTGGGTAAGCCCACCAGACGGGTAACTCGATTCCAAAGAGCCTCACGGGACAGCGGAACGGCCTCGCCAAAACAGTGGGCGAGGGATAAATAAGGCACAGGGACTATTCGTACGACTAGCGAATTGATAGTAGAAAGAAATCGTCACAAACCCCACACTGACAGTGAGCCTGCTACAATGGCAGCAAACGTACGACCTCTTCACTGAGCATGTCGGCAACATCATAGTGAGCCTGCTACAATGGCGACGGGAACAGACCCGGCAAAACGACTACGATTCGACCTCTTCACTGAGCATGTCGGTAACACACATAGTGAGCCTGCTACCAAATGGCATTCACCACATTCAATTCTTTCCCTACCTCCCTACCAAACCTACGAATCGACAAGCGCGGCTGAGTTGAGACAAAGGATGGAATGGAGGATGGATTTTTCATGGCAAGAGTATGGGAGACACAGGGCAAATCTACAGTGAAGCTCCCAGGCCAGGCTGCCAACTGGTGTTGAGGGGGTTTCATAACACATGCATGCGTTGGATTTTCTTCAATTCTACCGAAGGACTACGGCAAGAGATTAAAGAGGGGCGAATTACATTTTCATACCCCAAACTATGGGATTCTTACAAATTCATACCCCATCTTACATTTTCATACCCCAATGGGGTATGAATTTGTAAGATACCATTGACAGGGGTATGATTTTGTAAGATACCATTTATAGGGGTATGATTTTGTAAGTTGCCATCTATAGGGCGGGTTGGTGTTAGGGAATTATCCTCCGGGGGCCCTGCGGGGCTCCTTAGGGGTGTCTGCAGCGTGAAGTGTAAACACCCCTATTCAACCCTTTAGCGGTAACTCGGGTTACTAACAATTGGGGTAGATAGCCTGAAACACCCTAAAATACCCTTCTAATGATTTATAGGTATAGGTATAGGGATGTTGTGTTAGCAACTCAGCTAAAAAGCTTGGTACCGGGGGTGTCTGCGCTTGACTCCTATTTGGACCTAAATAGGGCCCCGTAGGGACGTCGCAGGGCCCCCGTGAGGGCTGCTGCTAACATGTTAATGGTATCTTACATTTTCATACCCCAAGAAATGGTAACTTACAAATTCATACCCCAAAGACTGGCAACTTACAAATTCATACCCCATTTTTTTGGTGAGGGGTATGAAAATGTAAGATGGGGTATGAATTTGTAAGAATCCCATAGTTTGGGGTATGAATTTGTAATTTGCCCGATTAAAGAGGAACTCGGAGAATCTTGCTGACACGCAGGCAAGATATGGCCAACATCTCCAGGATCTCTGAAGGACAATGTGGGCATAATAGACATGGCAGGCATGGCATTATCAAGACCAGCATGCGATCCGGCAAAACCTCGGACATAGTAAATTGAAACCATCCGATGTTCGACTGCTACCGCTATACCTCGGCAAAATCCTCTCCAGTAAAGGCTTACAGGGACTATGGATGTTTGGAGATACAAGGCAAGCAATGGGCCTGCATCTCCGGTCTACCAGCCATGGGGGCCATGGCTATTGAGAGGGGGGTAGTGTTACGAGCGTACCCTTGACACACCACTCAGCCCTATGGCCTAGTGCCTTGGCAGGAGGCATCCCCTACTATATCATGCCTCCTTCCTACATACATAGTTCGGTAGCCTTATTATCCTATTCTACCTCACCCATACTGGTATCGCACCTATGTTAAAAAATTTTTTTAAATTATAATTAAATAAAAAAATTAATAATAAATTATATTTTAATATTAATTTTTTTTTAAATTTTTTAATTTATTTTTTTAAATTTTTTAGCCAAGCCACTAAGGCGTTTTAGCGTGGTTTAAACACCTGCAGGCCTTATATATCTTCACCTTGCTGTGACTACAATCTTGCTCAGCCTTCTAATCACCAGGACTATGGCCTCCACCATAGTTGCTTCCACGCTCCGCGCTTTGACATACTCGCGGGGTGACATCTGCGACCGCACTATCAACACTGAATATCTTCAGAATGACTGCCCTCTCGATCAGACATCAGCAAATGCACACTTGGCTTGCCGTATACAGCCCGCAACTGCCTCTCTCGGACGTCTCGATATTCTGCCCGTAGAGACCATACAAATCATCTTCTCAAATACCGATCTCAGCACCTTGACACTTCTACGTTCTGTCAGCAGACGCGCGAGCTGCCTGGTCGACTCCGTACCTGCCTACAAAAAGGCCGTCACTCACTCTCCCAATGCCCTACGTGCTCTGATCAGTACCCACACAGCACAATACTTTACGGCCAACGATGTGTTTGACGCCCTCCTCGCCCATGAGTGCTTCCTCTGTGGCCGCTTCGGTGCCTTCTTGTATCTTTTAGAATGCCGCCGCTGCTGCTGGGATTGTCTCATCAGTGTTGAGGATCTCCTACCTATATGCAAAGCGTCGGCACAAACCTTGTACCGCTTCGACGCACAGACAATGGATGAAATGCCCACGGTGTTGACCATCCCAGGCTCATACGGTCTGAGACATAAGCAATCCACCCACAGACAACCAAAGGGCGAAAAGCGAGTCGCTATGGTCGCCTATGGAGCGGCCAGAAAAGCTGGCCTAAATGTCCAAATGGGAAAGAAGCTGACGGACCACTACGAAAAAGCGAAGCTAGAAACGAGAGTCGCACTCCGTGGCCCCGTGGCTCAGGATCCCATGCGAGACATGGACTGTATGAACTACGACCACGCTGGATACAAGGCTGGCTTCGGGCTCGAGCCTCAACGCTTCATGGCAGCGGTTCGCTTTCCCACCCTGATCACCGGGACCGATAAGATTGAGTGGGGATTTTCTTGCCTCGGGTGCTTGGAACGAGCTGAATACGGAGACGAAGAAAGATTCTGGAACGAACAGTACACGACTGAGGGTATGGTGAGACACTTGGACAAATGTCAAAGGGCGGGACAGTCGTGGATCAATGATCGTGTAACGGAGGTGCATGGGCGCTGATAGACGCTTCTTTGATCACTGGAAGAACAACTAGGTGGTAGGGATATCGTGGATGCATTAGTCTTTCAAATCGAGCAAGGTTGTACATATACATACGTTATTGTACAATAACCTTGGCACCTCATTGCCCTGCACTCCATCTGAGAATGAAGAGTGGAAATCGATCTGATCGAACGACTTCATTGCATGCAAACACGGACTGCAATTCATGACGTCCTCGAGACTCAATGCTTTGACCCACAAAAACCTCCTTGCAATTTCACCCTTTGATCATCTGTGGCACCTCAATGCCCTACCCGCAAGCTCCGTCTATCATTCGCCGGAAAGTGTCCAGTCGAGTAGCTTTCATACCTCAACCGTTGTCTATTTTCCATAGCAACTCCATACCGGAGAGTTTCTACGTGCCGTGCTCGCGTTGCGATACTGTTTGCACCCAAGTCTCTGTCAAAATTCAGGTATGCGATATGTAGGTTGCATCAATTATTCTATCTCAGGACTCCCCTGGGCCAGTATTTGTACCCCATGCAAATTAGGTGGTTGTTCCAACAGGTGGCTGGGAGGAGGCTGGGAACCTTATTTCGACAGTCTCTCAAGACATAGTCATCAAACGCATAGATTCTTGCCCCAATCTCGTTCCGGGATTGACAGATGGTTGACAGGTCGCCCAGATATCTTTTGAGTGTCCCATAGCACGTGACTGTGTTGGATCGAGATCTAGAACCGTCCTTGTGGGTCACGAAAGTCAAATCACCCTCCAGGACGCTGAGGGTTTTTGCCAATCCTGCACAATTTCAAAAAGGGACTTAGGGCTTATTAAAGCATGCATGCAAGCTAGACTCACGAACAACCGCCCCTATCATCTCGCTTGTTGCCGCGTAATGATTACGCCCAGCCGTTTTGTCGTCATATAGCCGCATGGGACGCAAGTCGAGTCTAATTCTTTGGCCGTGGGCGGTCATGCGCCTGATTGGGCGCAATGCTCGCATGGCTGCTGACGCACATTTTTTTCTTTGTCGGGATGCAGGGTCCCTCGAGCTACAGTCAGCATTGCGGACTGGACGAATACAGATTGGAGTTCTGACACGCCTGTAGAGTACCAGCCAACACGGCAGCGGATCGATCCAAACCGGTCGCGCCCCGGGCGAAACACGGCCTTCTTTACGCTAGACAGAAACTGTGCATGTGGGGTTCGTAAGTGATCCCCGAAAACAAGACATCTTTCTGCTGTGTTGCTAGGTATGCACAAGTACTCTAGTGACGATTACGGATCAATGCGCATAGGTAGGCTCTCTGGGGATCTCGTGGCCTAGAGAAAGCTAGCCTCATATCCCACATGTGAGTGCCAGCGCCACTCTTTGAACACAGGAAAGACGGAACGGCAAAACCAATGAAGCTGATCTACCAGAGTCAGCGACAGACACTGAAACAACCGTACTTCACTGTACGAAAAGCTTACCCATGCTATAACTGAAGTATCTGAAGAGTGTCAACCTTCTTAAACCCGCAATGGACCGGGTTTCAACACTTACAGTCTTCATATCCCATGGATCGGAGTAAGAAATGCTTGGTGTAGATGCGTATGATGACGGCACAGGTTGCGGACCATATGGTTAGAGTGACAGTTACATAGAGGTAGATATCTTTGTTTGGTGGATTATCGAAATTGGGTATTACTCCAGTAGGCGGTATGCCCGCAGGTCCATCCAGAAGACTCTGAAGCGCTGCCTGAAGCTGGTCTGGCGTGGGAGACGGTGCCAGAATCGCCATTGACCTGGATAACCCGAGTTGCAATGTTGGGATTTCTGGGTTTGGAAAGGGTGGTGGACGGGAACAACGAAGGGTGGTTCCTGAAATAATCAGATTTAAGATGCCGTTCGTAGGTCATTATAGTCGCCGAAGGTAGGTGACAACAAGAGAGGATATTTGTCGTCCGTTCTGAAACCCAAAACCTCGGCCTTGCGCGCGAATCAACTACCAATTTTGACCATGCAATGTCTTGCAAGTGACGAACAAAATCCCTTGTGCAGCTTACACATACTGACTGCTCAATATCTCCGTTTTCCTAGATGTCCTGCAGGCCTTCTTGGGTCAGAATTATCGCACGCGCTAGAATCAAAGAAGATATTGTGGGGTTGCTGCGCGTGCATCAAATTTATGCAGACTCCATACCAATGAAGTTTGGGGTCGGCTGTAAGTTTTACCATGCCGAATGGAGATCCGTGATGCCGTCGCACCGTTGGCTCTAAGTAGTTCATCATATTTCAGCTCACACCGCCTCCAACGGCCTCGCATATCACCGGATTCTAGTTGCCTCAAGATGCTGACAAGGCATGCAGGCACTCCTCGTATCAAGGATACGCAGTGCTTAATCAAGTGGCTCCATTCAAAACGTCAGGATTGAAGATTCTGTTTGCCTGGGTGTAACCTTTATTGATCGGGTCAGTTACTTACCAGTATTGTTTCCATCTTGTCTTCTTCGGCCACAAGCATTGACTTGAGGCAGGCGTGTCTCGAAATGCCGTTGGATCGAGCATCAAACATGGCGACACCACATTTTCGGAGAGCACGAACGCTCCTGTGATCAGACGTGGGGTTTTCTGTGTTTGTAATTGCCTGTTCTTTTTCACTTATGTTCAGATGGTTGGACCTGCATTTCCAGGATCCCAGAATACGGATCACTTGACAACATATTCTCCTTACACCTTTTCTTCCATGCCACCAACGACGCCGCCATCTACGAGCAGTATCTCGATTCTCATCCTGAGGGAGTTCAGGAAATTTGACTTCTATAAAAAGCAGTCCGAGCTGTAATGTGTCTCATAACAGCCCAGTTGGTGCCTCGACTTGTGTCGTATGTCAAACTCCTTTCAGAGTAGTACCGATCAAACCTCCTGGATCGACAGACAAAGGTGCCTCCACAATCTTGAAGATGAGACTTGAATCTATGGTAGATTTTCAAGCCCGTTCGACTCGCCGGCAGTGGACTTGGTGCATAGCAGAAGAATTGCGCCTTTTGCAAAACAGTCAGGTTCCCCATCCCTTTGACGATCTTCGTGCGGCTTTCCCTGGGTCCACCCAGCTGATCATCATGGCTACATCTTGCAGCTCCATTGGATTCTCACTCCCCGAGAGTTTCACGCTTGGGACAAATAAAGGGTGCGCAATGCGTCAACAAAGAACTTTGGGAGAGCTTTTGATCGCGACCGATGTCTTTTGTTCTATTTGACTGAAAATCTTTGTTGGGCTTTATCCATCTCTCCGAAAGGGTTTCCGGGTTCAGACTAGCTCAAATCGAAGAACAGAGCGGACAAAGAAGAGACAATGGGTGAGGATCTTTCGTCTCGGGTACCGTCGCTATTTGTTTTCCTCGTCGTTGGTAGACTTATAGATGGACAGAGCGTCATTTTTATGTTCTTGCACTGCTGGCACAAATATTCTTTCTCTCCCTCCCTGCAACGGTGTCCATTTTCCTAGCATCTGTTTAACAATACATCTCTCAAGCGAACCACTCGACTAGAAAGATTCACCATGACTTCTACCGAAATTTTCACGGCCATGACCTGCAAAGAACTTAAGACTGAGCTAAGGAAGCGCGACTTGCCAACCGGCGGCCTCAAAAAAGATTTACTGGACAGGCTGCGGGAAGCTGAAAACGCTACCTTGACCGATGTCGTAAACACCACCACCGTTGCTGGAAGAGTGGAAGCTTGTGTTGAGGTTGAGACGGTTGACAGACGTCCTAGGCGGGCCTGGGTGTTGCTCTGTCTCATTATCATTTGCGTTGGCGGTCTCTTCTGCTCGCGATACGCGATCTTGGAGAATTCTTCGGATTCCGTTGTCGGGGACCATGATGCTGGTACGAACAATATCCAACAACATAGAACGTCCAAAGCTAATACCTGTCATGTCATAGCACTCACTCCACAGGATCTAACCTGGCTCAACTACCCTGATCACTACAAGGTCCTTAACGTATCAGCTAGTGCTTCATCAAAAGTTATCAGAAGAGCCTATCGCCAGAAGGCAAAGAAGTGGCACCCCGACAAAGCCGAGACGATGAACATTAACCAAGGAGTTCTGTTCAAGGCAACCAGGATCATAGGTCTCAGCCGCGATATCTTACTGGATCCCCGGGACCGAGGGCTGTACGACATGGGACTAAACCCAGTGAAATGTGACTCTTCATGCGAGCTGTGTACGTGCAGTTGTGGATACGGGTCAAGACTCAGTTCTTGGCACCCATCTAATTGGCCTACCGAATTAATTGATATATAAAGCTGTAGTTGACTATAAGGCTGTTTTGCATATAAGTATGGTTCTAAATGATCATTTTGAAACAACTGGGGGTTTGGTCATATAAAGCTGGTATTTCTGAGAGGGTACAAGATTACTTAGTCATCTAGATAGCCAATCAAGTACCCACTCCAGTTACCCCAGTCTTACTATTTCAGCCTTTTCACACCCATTCTACACAAACGATCCAGCCTTCACACCCATTCTACATATACTAGACTGTTATATCCACCATTCTTCGTCATCCTCACGCATTCAACTCGGGATCGTCCTTCATAGCCTCGTAGCAGGTAATAGGTAAGAACATGCTGGAGAAATACGTCCTTGCGCGTACTAATTTGGTAGAAAACACGCTATCTATCCCTATTTCAGCTTACTAACTAGCGGCGACAGCGTAAAGCACTACTAGCATATAAGGCTGTTTTGCATATAAAATACCGTTCTATTAATGAAAAACCTCCAACACCATATAAGCTGAGCTTTATATTCAATTAATTGTAGCTATTTGTGTGGAATCGACGTGATAAAAGGAGCCAAGACAGGGGTTGTTTTCATTATAGACATGGCTATGTACGGAGTAAGATGGTTTATTAATGCTCTCGCAGATGCTGTATTCGACCCTGAGTACCTGTGAAAAGATCTCCCAAGATCATTGGACTTGGCACGCTAAGGTTAGGACTGAAGCTAGGTCGCAATTGGCTAATCTTAGCTCGACGGCTGTACGAAGTTCCGAGATCCGTGCCCTGCCAAGAAATCAAATAATTCGTCGCAATTTCCTCGAGGATCTCTTTCCCTTCTCTTGCATTGCATTGCATTGCAGACGCACCTGAACTTCTCCATTTTATATATATGTACTATTATTTCGACAACCAATACAAAGAGTCAGGTCTATAAATCAATCATCATGTCAAGCTCAATCCCCACAACAATGAAAGCATGGCAGTTCTCCCAGACCACTGGTGGCATCGAGAAGAACCTCAAACTCAACAACACCGCCCCTCTGCCGCCCAACGCCAACTCACTGGCAGCAGATCAAGTGCTCGTCCAGGTCTTATCCTCCACCCTCAACCCAGTCGACTACAAGTTCGCCCAATTACCTATCCTCGGCAATCTTATAATCAAAAAACCCGCCTCTCCAGCCCTTGACTTCGCCGGCCGTGTCGTAGCCAGCGGTGCCAATTCAAAGAAGGTCTCAACCGAAGATCTAAAGCCGGGCCAGTTGGTATTCGGAAAACTAGACGCTCCCACACAGTACGGCACTCTGGCGGAGTACACCATTGCGCCAAGATCAGGCTGTGTGCCTCTGCCTCAGGGAGTAAGTCTTGATGATGCAGCCTGCATTGGCACCGCAGCCCTGACGGCATACCAATGCATCGTCCCAAACATCAAGTCTGGGGACCGGGTCTTCATCAACGGCGGTAGCGGCGGAGTAGGGAGTTTTGGCATTCAATTGGCGAAAGTCAAAGGCTGCTATGTCGCCACCAGCTGCTCAAGCGTCAATGTCGAGCTCTGCAAGTCTCTTGGCGCTGATCAAGTCATTGACTACAAAAGCAAGGACATTGTTGCCGAACTGAAGAAGATGCAGAAGTTCGATTTGATAGTCGACAATGTAGGCACGCCGAGCGAGTTGTACTGGCAATGTCACGACTTCACACATACAGGGACCAAGTATGTGCAGGTTGGTGGAGGATTGAGTCTAGGCGAGATCTACAGCTTGTTGAGTCGAATGATGTGGCCTGGGTTCCTTGGTGGTGGGAAGAGACCATTCCAGTTCCTGGGAACGGCAAACAACAGTGACCACTTGAAAGAGATTGCGCAGTGGATGGCGCAGGGCAAGGTGAAGGCCTTGGTTGATGAAGTGTACGGCATGGAGGACAAGGGACCTATCAGAGCATTTGAGAGATTGAAGACTGGGCGCGCGAAGGGAAAGATCGTCGTGAAGGTTGCCGAGCCGTAGTTGAGATAGAGCCCATTGTGGCTCGTCATCTTGGAGGGGAGAAAGCCTCTCGAATTGCTTTCACCGACAAATTTTTTTGGAACAGATACAAGTCTGTTGTTCGAGAGCTTTTGCCTCGATAGTGATAATCTTCGCACCGAAGGTCTTGGGTATGACATAAAAATGAGTCCAGAAATCCGATATGTACAAAGATCGAATGCGTCAGTTTTCGTTGACCTGCTCGCTGCATACCGTTGATCACATTCTCATTGTGCTAGGGCTGTTCTTGATATAGCGAACAACATCGCAAGTCCTCCAGACCCAACAGACATCGTACCAGTATTGTATCTGCGTCCATATGTTGCTGTCTATTATCCACAAAAACCCGCTAAGATCAAGTTCGAATCCCCATCACGTTGACTCCATTGACGATATCCGTTCCAGCTCTACAATATCCTTCCTCACTCCATCACTCTGTGCGCTCATACCAACACCAGCTACGACTGACTCATCCGGCGCTTTTGCTACCGTTGTATCTGGCTTTTCAGTGACCGCCGCCGCCATCGCTCTCCGCTCGACCCTCTTGCTATCCCCCAGAAGCTCAAAATGTGGCCTCATAAGAAAAGTATACTTGACAAACTCCTCCACGCAATCGACAAACCTACCTCGACTCCCAGTGGGTAACAGCCTGCTCGTATCATCACCTCGTTCGTAAACTGCGTATACGCTCTCGGCAGGCTGGACTGATTAGGGAGCAAAATATGCGCTTCCAACGGCCAAGATTGCGGAGCGAGCTCGCGGCGTTGAATGACTGGATCCACAATTGACCTGGATGATTGAAGGAATTCGGCTTTGCGTGGGTCAAACACTGCCTGCTGCGAAGGAAATCAATATTTGGTTTTTCAGATGCCAGTTGAGGAAAGCATCCCGTGTGCTTTCGAGGTGGAAGACTTGCCAGGTTCCATGCTGTGCTGGCATGCACCAAACGTGTGCTCGCTCCAACAACTGAGCTCTTGTAGTTCTTGTACCTTCTTATGCTTCTCGTGTTTATTCTTGACGGGCAGTTGGGCCGGATTGAAACGCGGACATCGCACTCCGGGCGATGGAGCATGCGCAAGGCTTCAAAGCCATCGCTTTGGTAAGACCTGCGGTCACGAAATGGCCCATGCCGTAATGTTGTGTGAGGACTATGCGCGGTAGGTTGCTAAAAGTAGCTCCGTCTCCTCTCAAGACTGCTCTAGTAACCAAGGAACAACAAGAACCCTCAGCTCCCCAGCACGCCACCCACCCATCTCCACACAACACCACACCAAACTCCATCCCCGGCTCCACTCTCCTAGCAAAGCTTCACCAAAGTCAAAACCCGGCGTGGACTTCCTACTCCTCGATCTGCGCCAGACAGACTTCGAGGCCGGCACGTTCCTCCATTCGTCAATCAGATGCGCAAACTGACCGCTCCACTTCCAGGGCGATACCATCATCGGATCTCTGGATCTACTGGCCCAGACGCTGCATCACAGTCTCCACGCCGTCCGGGACCTCTGCGTAGCCGCACGCATCAGGACGGCGATATTCTATTGCAGTAAGAGACCTTGCACGAATCTAGACCACCGCGCTTGACAAACACAGCAATATACTTACCAGATTCATCACGGGAACGTGGCAGGCAAGCTGCGGGCTGGTTTGATGACTTGATCCTCGATGAAGGCATCACGGATATGCAGAGCCTTATTTTATCCTGCCCGAAGGTATTGAGGGATGGGCCAAGGCAGGGCCAGACAGAGTATGTGAAGCTGATGGATGGGTACGAGTGTCAGGTATGGGAAAGATGATCCTAAGAATGAGTATAAAGCGTCACTGCGATTCAACAATCTTTACTCTAGATCTGTATCTGGACGTGCTCAAACGTTACGTTGCCCAGGAGCATCAACCATAGAGCAATCCCATCAGCCCCATACCTATTCAAAACTAACCAGACGGCGGAATCGCCTCCCTCCCACCCTCCACAATCCTCAACCCCGCATAACAAAGCCTCGTCCTATTCCCCGACTCCCACCACCACTCCCGCGTAAAAACAGGCGCGAAACTTCTCTCCACCGCATCTCTATGACTCGCCACGAACTCCGCGATGAAATCCAACGGAACCGGCTCCCTCGTACAGCCAAATTCGATCCTCAAATTGCCCGCTTCCAGCACGACCTGGTTGGACGGCGGACTGTTGGCCCATATGGTCAAGATGTTGTCCAGGATATTGGTGAAGAGGCGGGACAGGGCGATGCAGGCGATGCAGCTGAGGGCAGCGAGAGGGACGACGAGGATGAGGCCTGGTTCGGTGAAGGCGTGATACCAGCCGAGGAAGGGAGAGACGAAAATTTGGCGGGGTGTTTGTGAGTGGAGGGTGGTGGCGGGCGGCAAGCTTGAAGAGTTGTTTGGAAATGAAGTCATCATGACGAGAAGGAGAAGATTTGCCACGCTATCGATATGGCTATTGGTGCCTCATTCATTCATCCTCGCCACGAACGTTTCTCAATCCTTGGTGATTTTTGCTAGAACTGTTCGCGTTTCTGCTCCGGAATGCGGTATTTAACACATCGAATTTGGCGCTTTTAGGTCGTATGCGCCTGGGGAGAGCGCGCAAATACCGCGCGGTCGCCAACTACACATGTAACCACCAACAAGCCCCTGCATATCTTCAGCATGTTGGGTAAGGAAGATCATCACGCAAGCTGGGTAAGCTGATGAATAAATGTTCTAGCGCAAAAAATTAGGGATTTGATATGCTTCATTTTAGTAATGAGTAGGTATACAAAATGGTCCTCTTTTGCACCTCACCCCCTTCTTGCGCCTGCGCCATCTTCGACCTCTCCCTCAATAGAGCTGCAACACTATAGTGTTCAGCTCCTACAAATGTGCGAATCGTTCAGAAATAAACGGCGCCAATTGGTTGAACACCTTGTCCATCCGATGTGGTCGCTTGAGATCGTTCAAGTCGGCATGGCGGATCACGCTATGCGGGACATTGGAACATCAGTGGCTGAGATGGATGCCATGATGTTTGCGTTTTGGGTGTTGTGAGAGCAGAATCTGGTAGGTCCTGTCGTATGAACAGCGTTCTTCACAACTCTTGATTCATGAAGTTAGTGTTATTGTAGGAGGCTTTATGTGGAGAAGGGAGGCATTATATATTACGGATGTTTTGGCCCAATTGGCGGCAACAGTACCGCTATTTCAAACTAGCGGCCTACTTGGCACACATGTCTTCCAGCGACTGGAAAACAGGTTGGCATAGGACTGATATTGAGCGGTAAAACAGAACAATTGGGAAACAAGCAGACTTCATTAAGCACTCGCCTAGACTAGCCTCGACTGCACGGCTGTCCAAATGGAACCATGTTTGCGTACGCCATTGTAAGACTGTCCTATGAGATAATGAGCTTTGGGAGAACGAGCGGTAAATAACGACAGCGGGCACGAGGAACCATATGAGATTGTCAACGTACACATTCAGAATTACCACGTCAATGGCCGCTGAGTACAGTCAGTGCACTGAGGAGCTCTTTCGGTCGCTTCCAGGCCATGGTCAAGGCTCAACGGCAGGAGGCAGCCTTGCCAGAAAAGCCCATGGCAATGGTCGTCCACCCTCAGGCGGCACAAGCAAGTTCAACACTCTGTCCCGTTCATGGCAACAGCATCTCTTCGCATCCCAGGAGGGTCCTACGTCAAAACAGCTCCACACGAAACAGCTGCACACAGAACGTCCAGATGGCTATGGGAAAGTCTCCCGCGTGCTCTTCTAGTATTTCCACCACCAGGACGTTCTTCGACTTCTACGGTACCGGACATCGACCAAGAGATACAACGCCATGCAAAGGTAGCAGAGCCAAGCACCTGACCGACCAAATCTCCACATCTGCCAGCCACCTCTCTACGAAGAGCGAGACCCCCATCACCTGTAAAAAGCTCGCTCCATCTCCCCTTCGCAATACAACACATTCTTCTGCTCCGACCCTCTCAACCAAACCTCTTCATTCCACAAACCGAGAGCAGGCCAAAACAACCCACCCCTCGACTCCCTCACTTCCCCGCCCTCCCCACAAAAAGCGCAAAAACATCTCACCCCGCACGCGCTTTTACCAAGCAAGACCGTCTCAACCCCAACCACCCGCACGCACCCCGACCTCCACATACCAGCCCTCGCAGCGCAAACCCCCCCAACAGGCTCCCCGAAAAACCATCCAACCTCCCCTCGCACAAGCAGCATCAAGCCCAGCCGAGCCCGATCCCCCACCGCCCACGGCCGCTCCGACCTCGAATCCCCACATCGCCGCCCGAGCCAAACCCAACCCAACAGCAAACCTCACCGAAACCAGCCCGACGAAGCTCCGGTACGCCGTCCCCATCTCCACCACACACACACACACCCGGCGCCGTACTCGTACGTCCCACCATCGCGCCCCGATTCCGGATGCGAAGTCGGAACAACGCCCGGGACTGGGGCGGCATCCCGATCCCAATGAGTTCACCCTCTAACCCGCCGCCTAACGGGGGAGCGGAGCGGAACGAAGCCCAACTTGGCCGACCCGCAGAGCAAGGTTAGCCTTCCAACCCGCAATCGAAACGGTTTGAATCCACCCCGGACCCCCCTCGCGAGAAATCTAGCATTGATCGCCCAGCCAGCGCCCGCTCTGTCGTCTCCTGCCCACATGCGCGGGTCGGGTTGGGAAGCGTTCCGTTGCGTTACTGGTTGTAGGGAGGATGGGGGTGGGTGGGGGTTGGGGGGGGGAAGTTTTGGGTTTGGATGTGGTATGGAAGGGAGGGGAGGGAAGGAAGGGTGTGGAGGGAGTAGGGGTTCTTGAACGAACGATAGGGTTAAGAGTTGAGTTGGGTGAGAGAGGGGTGTATTGATTGGGAGGGAACTAAAGGTCATTGTTTGTGACTGTTCATCCCTCAGCAGTGAGGATGAATATTTTCTTCAGGCAGCAGCAGAAGATGATGTCGCGCTAGTCAGAAGAGTTACAGAAGAATTAGATTAGATTAATTACAAATTATCTATTAGAATATTAGACATCCGCATAGCGAAGCTTTTCAGACCTCCAGAACCAGGTCGAATGTCATAAGTCGTTACCCCACCTTCCCTTCCCCTTCCACCCTCCACATGCCCAATCACGACTGACTCCCCGTAGCCGGCACGCCCTGCGCACTCACGCTCGTCGCATTATACTCATAAACGTTCAAAAGCCCACTCCCGCCACAAAACTCCTTCCGGTTGCCCGAACACGGCACGTCGCAACCGCTCGAGCTCGCCGCGGTCGCCGAGCCCGGCAGAGTGGACGCGCAGTAGCACTCCTGGGCGGACTCGACGCCCGCGACCGGCATGGTCGGGGTCGAAGCCTGGCAGAACTGGACGCACGACTCGACCGTCATGCCCGAGGCGTTCGAGTACGAGGGCCCGCCGAGCAGGCGCCCGTTCGGCGCCTCGTTGTAGCAGCCCTGGGAGACGTAGTAGCCGACCTGCGGAACCGTGGACGGAGGCTGGTAGCTCGTCAGGTTGTACAGACTGAGTAGGTTGGCGCTGCCGCAGATCTCGGACGCGTTGCCCGCGCACGGTTCCGAGCAGCCCGACTTGCCCACCGCGGCGTAGTTTTGGAGACCGGAGCCGCAGTAGCATTCCTGGCCGTATTCGAGGCCGGCGAGGGGGAAGTTGTTGCCGTTGGTGCTGCAGTAGGATTGGCAGGACTCGATGGTCATGCCGGACGTGTCGGTGTAGGAGGCGCCGGAGAGGGCGCGCGGCGTTACGGAGTTGTTGGCGCAGCCGAGGTAGGACCAGCCTGAGGAGGAGAGCTCGCCGACGGTGAGGGTGTGGATTGAGGGAATGGTGGAGGAGAGGGTGGAGGAGATCGTGGAGGAAAGGTGTGCGGACTTTATGGATGAGATTGTTGATGCGCTGGTTGAGGGTTTTGTGGTAGAGGATAACGATGTTGAGGACAGTTTGCTGGATGATGGTCTAATGGATGAGATGGTGGTTGAAAGTTTTGTGGTAGAGGATAGCGATGTTGAGGACAGTTTGTTGGATGATGGTCTAATGGATGAGGTGGTGGATGAGATGGTGGTTGAGAGTTTTGTGGTAGAGGACAGCGATGTTGAGGAGATTCGACCAGATGATGATGTAGTGGAAGAGATAATGGTCGAGGACAATTTGGTAGACGAGAGCGTCGTCGACGAGGGTTTGCTCGAGGGTAGTACGGAGGAGGATAGTGTGGTGGAATAGAGCGTGGCGGACGATGATGATTTGGAAGACAATATTGTGGAGGATGACATGATCGACGACGCTGCACCGACAGATGAGACGGAGGTCGAGACTGGCTTGCTGGACGAAGCTAACCCAGAGGACGAGATCGCGGACGAAGTTGCGGAAGATACGCTGCCCAAGCCTATAGTGGAACCTAGTACGGACGATGAAAGCGAAAGTTTTGATGACGAGGCTACCGAGACCGAAGATGCAAAAGTTGATGCGCTGTAGGGCGAGATCACGCTGGAGGATAAGATCGTAAGACTTGGACTGGTCGATGATAGTTTAGTAGATGCTGGTAGCGTGGCAGAAGAGACAGCACTGGCGGAGGAAGCGTAGGTGGAGGCCACGGAAGATATTGTCGATGCAATGGAAGATGCCGATAATGGGATGAGACGGTTTTTCTGGATCTCATACATATCCAGTCGCCAGCCACCTCCACAGTATTCCAGGCTGTTGCCCGAACATAGTACATTGCAGTCAGTCTGGGGCTGTATACCGCTGCCTACATTGGGAGCTGTCCCGCAGTAGCTAGATACCCATCAGCAACTTTTTCCAAATTATACCAAGTGCGGATCTGCTTACCACTCCTGTCCATACTCGACACCCATCCACGCATAACCAGTGCACTGAGCGGCACACAGCTCAACTGTCAAACCGGAAGTATTGAAATATGCAAATCCGCTGAGAGTGCGAGTGTTGCTGTCTTGTTGGGTGTCGTTCCAGCAACCTTGATAGACGTAGTTGCCGACCGTTTGGACGTGGACCGGACCAGTGGATGTGGGCGCGATAGATGATGCTGTGGAGATGACAGAGGCTGAGGAAGCAGCAGAGATTACAGAGGCGGTAATGCTGGATGATGTTACCGATATTCGACGAGGCCACGAACGACGACGATGCAATGGAGCTTGACGGAAGAGCTGACGAGGTCACAGCAACGTAAGTGTAGACGTTGATCCGATTCGAGCCACCACAGTACTCTGTCGCGTTTCCGCTGCAGACCATATTGCAACCAGTAACGTCCGGGGTGCTTCCGGCAACGAGAGCCGATCCTCCGTTGATGGCGCTACCACAGTAGCATTCAGCTCCGTATTCGACACCAAAATACGAAAAGGCACTACACTCGGAAGCACATTGTTCGACATCATTCTGACTTGCGACCCCGGGGTTGGTGAGTCCAGATAAAGCTCTCGAATTGACGCTATCGCTGTAGCATCCTAAGTACGAGAAACCCACCCCCTTTTGGACTGTGATCGGTCCAGTTGGTGTGGGCGCTGGTGTAGAAGAACTGGTACTCGATGCGGACGCAATGCCAGAAACCGAAAGTGTTGCTGAATTGGTGACAGTGGGAACAGCCGAGGAAGCAGAGGCGAACGAGGCATTGTACTGATAGGTATTCAGTCGATTCGGACCGCCGCAGTATTCACTAGTATTGCCGTCGCAAGTCATATCGCACAGATTTTGGGTTGGATCGCTTCCACCAGTAGCTAGAGCCGAACCTCCTAGCAAGGCATCCCCGCAGTAACACTCAGCGCTGTATTCGACGCCGAAATATGTGAACTGAGCGCAAGCAGCGGCGCAGAGCTCGATGGTCAGCGTTGCACCAGCAACAGGATTTGTAAGCCCTGTGAGCGCGCGATTGGCCGTGCTATCCGTATAGCAGCCAATGTAGCTGAACCCACCAGCGGATGGCACAACCGAAGGCGCGCCAGGCGTTGGTGTCGGGCTCGTCCCCGGCGTCGATGTTGTTGAGGTGGGTAAGGGCAAGCTACCATCGAGCTGGTACATGTCAAGCCTATCCGGACCGCCGCAGTACTCCGAGACGTTGCCACCGCACAGCATGGAACAACCGTTGACAAGGATATCCGAGCTAGGCTGGTTGACTGAGCCAGCGTTGATCGTGTTACCGCAGTAGCACTCGTTGGAGTACTCTATTGAGAGCTCGGAGTCAGCGTTCCTTCTTCGAGGCAGATGTTCAAGTAGTGGCTCAGACAGCTTCGGGGCAGTCAAAAGACTCCTCTACTTCAGTCTTGCCTTTCGAAACGTGAGATGAACGGGAAAAGCTTGCTCTGGAATGTACATACCGACGCCGAAGTAAGTATACCCCTGACAAGAAGCCTCACAGCTCTCGACCGTGTTGCCAATGCCAGCTGGAATTGCCGGCGCCAAGCCAGAAAGTGCGCGACCAACTGTAGCCTCTGAGTAGCAACCAATGTAGTTGTAGTTTCCAGTCTGATTGACAGTGATTGGTGCGCCGGCAGGCTGAGTGTTGTTTCCTGGGGTATAGCGGGTGGAATCGTAGTAGACGCTCAGATAACCGCCGAATCCGCCGCAGACTTGAGTCGCATCGCCGGCGCAGGAGAATGTGCAGTAGGTTTCGGCGGCTTGATAGAGGCTGGGTGGTGGTGTATCACCTAACCAGCATTCGGTTTGATACTCAGTACCGGCGAAGATGTAGTTGCCTGCTTGAGCTTCCGTTTGGCAAAGACCATTGGTGTTCGAGCTATTATCATATGGCTGGGTGGGAAGCAATCGCCCCGCCGGGGCATCATCGATAAAACAGCCTAGGTACGAGTAGATAGGCAAGCCTGAGGAATTTGTCGGTCCCACTTTTCTGCTCACCACCGTACCCTGTATCTGAACAGTGTGGACGCCAAAGTTCAAATCATCTAATGGTTGCCATGTTAGGGACAGAAATGTAGGAAATAGCACAAGAATTCACATACCGGTGTTCAAAGTCCAGCTATTTGTATAAACTTGATCTGGATTGTTTGGAGTCTCAGCGTTAGTGGCAAATATGACAGTCCCGTAGGCACACTGATCGACAGGAATTTGCTGTGACTCGTGCAGATCAGTAGGATCATCCAAACGGAAGACGCCGTTAGGAGGTTTGCTCTTGGTGACTTCGAGCACCGAGCCACCGACGTCGCAAATACGGATTTGCAATGATGGTGATGTTCCCGGAACAACCTCGCCAAAATCCATAAGAAGGGTGCTCTGCGGCAACCAACCGCCTTCGCCGTTACTGATGGAGAAATTTGCGATTGGTGCGGTAGAGGCAGAGCCTTCCAAAATGATGTTCTGGGATCCTCCATTGCTCCATACCTCGAAGAAAGATCCGTAGTTACCAGTTCCATTGACAGGAGTGAAGGTCGAGTCGACTGATATCTGGGCCCCCCCTGCAATGACAGTGCCCACCACAGGCAGATCGCTCGCAGTGAAGCCGTATCCAAGATCTTGCGTAGCGCCACCAAACGTAGTGTTGGTCCAGTCTATGTCATCGTCGTCGAGGTCATCGGTAGTGTACGCATAGCCAAGGATAGTGAGAGGGCTCAACCCCGCATTGGTGATGGTAAAGGAAAGAGAATTGGTGGGAACATCTTCTGGATAATTCAGAAGGACAATCCCACTGTAGTCGACCGTGATTGGAGCTACGACGAGAAAAGCGTCCTGCGACACCTCTGTTCCCGTCAAGCTGATGGGAAATGTTGTCGAGTATCCTCCCACCCCGTTGAGAGTGGTAAGTGTTAATGCAGTACTTTTGACACCAGGTGAGACATTGCCATATGAGGCATTTGCTGTATTTCTATTGTGTATTGTGCTAAGGTTCCAGGTGACGGGAAAGCTGAATGTGGTACCTGCTGCGACTGGCCCTTGGGGCAAATTCGCAGCATTGACCTGGAAATTTGCATCGCCAGTGGTGATACTGGTTATCTCGTTGATGGCAATGACAGCTTTGCAAGTGACCGTTTCGGTCTGACTACTCCCAAGAGCAACGCTGCCAAAGTCGACAGGCGAAGTACAATTCAGAGGTAGATTGACGGGAGAGCCCAGACAATAGACGGTTCCCTCAGCGTCTGTGACATACAGGCGGGTGTCTCCAAAAGCTGGGCGCTGGAATTTGTTCAATCCGTTGACTTGCGGCAGATTGATCGTCTTCATGGTGCCATCCGAGTTCGGCACGGCATACCAAGCCCGCAAACCGGCGTCAGGATCACACATCCATAGAATAGCTGTGCCAGCTTTGCCTTGATAGGTGGTGATAGTTGGGATACCGACGCCGACACGACCAGCAGAGATCTCGGTAGTCGCACCGACTTGAGTGAACAGTGGAACACCGTTACCGTCGAAGCCAAGCTTGTACACGTATGTAGGATAGTTAATGGGTGTCGAGTAGATGTAGCCACCTTCAAGCGGATAGGATCCTGAGCCACCGAAGACAGCTTTGTTCGTCGTGATCGTCTGAATGATCCCATCGGTTCCGCCTGGGCCATTTCTGTACCCACCCAAGTTGTTGGCATTGAGGATGTAAATCTTACCGTTTTTACCAGCTGTCACGGCCATCTTGGAAACACCGGTGCCATAGAAAACCGTGGGATCGAGAAGTGCGATACCACCCGAGCCAAAGTCCTGATCACCACCGTCCAAATTCTGATAGTCGTAAGGCTGAAAGTAATCTGTCAAAAGCAGCTTACCGCCATCACCAATGTTGAGGTTGACCTACAAGTCTATTAGCACCCTGGACTCACAGGTCCAGACCAGTACACATACACAAGCTTCACCCAGCGTTTGGCAGCCGCTGCTTCCGGAGGCAGGCGCATCAACATTTTGGTGACCGTCACCATTCCCCGATACCCAGAAGAGACGTTCACCGTCAGTGGATAGAGCCATTCCGCTCATCCAGATGCCACCTTGGCCTCCGCCAAGGTTCTCATTCCAGACATTGGTCTGCGGAACTAGAGGTCCAGCTTCGGTAACGAAATTGGTCACAACCTCTTGCAGATTGATATCGATGCCAACGATTTGACCTGTATAGTTGAACAAGTCACAGTGACCGCCGAAACCTCCGTAGACAACGGAGCCAATCATAGTCAAGGCTGGTCGCTGCAGGACGGTCCCTCCAATGAAATATTTCAACGGATCATTATCGGCCGGAACGCCGTCGACCAAGAGAGGTGGAAAAGTGTCCGCTAATGTGTTGATGTTCACGCCGTGAAAGTAATAGACTCCGTTGTAAGCGCCAGTGTCTCCCGCGTATCTGTAATTCGGGATATAAGTCTTGGAGAAAAAGTACACAATGTCGCTAGTAGTATCTATGATGGGGGTTCCAATGATGCCGATATAGTTGGGGATATCTGTGCAAGGAATGTCGATCTGCAAGAATGGCGTATGGACCTGTCGAGAGTTGAGAAGATCGCCCGTCTTGGCATCTAGGGTCCGAATCCAATTCTGCGAAGATGCCAAGAAAACAAGCTGGTTTCCACCAGCATTTGGTGTATACACCAGAGGCTTTGCGTAGAACTACGATTGTTATATTAGCAGCAGGACCCATATGGGGCTTAATGCCTCTAATGGCGAGGTTCGACGCCTTGCTCACCTGTTCTTGGTAGTTGAAGGGTACTTTCCAGAGCAAACCAAACTCGGCGCTATCAACGACTGCTGGATCCATGTTGTGGTTTGGCAGATAGCCTGACTGCGCTGGATCTGCATCTGATGGACTGTCCGTTGATGCAAAGCCAGAGACCTGTGGAAGCAAAGCCACCGCCGAAGCGACGACCCACCGTGGGAGTATCATGACGGATGTGACTCGATGTGCGTAGCTTGTCTGTCATGAACGAACAGGACACAAGAGCAGAAACGAATGTGCGGCTCCTTGGATGTAGAAGTAGACGGGGAGAGAGGAGGTTTTTACGTCTGTCGTCCCCTGAATGAAGTATCGGCGTACCTGGATTGTACCCGCCCACCAGCGGCACCATACAGTTTTTCCCAATCCGGGGAGATCATTTGAAGGGTCCATGGTCGAGGCTGCCGGCGTTACTCTCTTTGGACGAGCCACGATGGAGCTCGGGAGTGAGAAGATTTGCATCTTGACTAGTTTTCGGACACGCCACATGGCCGGTGAAAGCTGTTGAATCAGCTGGATCTCGGCCAGAACACCCTCAGACGGTAAAGTCACGGTGGCTATGAGAATGGTCACGGTGGCCAAGCGAACGGGCCGCCTGATAGATTGCTTCTTCATCAAAGATCAGTATCTTAATTAGTCCTTCATAGTATGGCTACCCATATTAGCAATGTCACCTCGTGATGATTTTTATGCGTTTGCACGTTTATAGTGCTAAGGATTGTTAGCTCGGTGGCATCTCCGCACTCCGAAGATTTCCAGCAAGGTTGAGAGGTTCGCATAAGCGAGAGGGGTGTTGAAATTCCTTGATAGGCCAGTTGGCCAAAGGATCAGCTACATGAAAAGTCAGATCTGGATCATTCCTCGGTTCTCACCTGCATATTTCCTGCATGCGCTGGGGGTCAATCCTCTGTTCGACTTAGTAGTCTGTACAGGGTTTCGTAGTGGGGGTTGCATTTCTTCTCTGGAGGCTACGAGTAAGCGTGGGTACGTGCGGGTGAGGGTAATCAATTTTGCTTTTCGTATTGCTATTCTTGACCTACTACCTACCTAAAGTATCTGATAGGCGTGTCGGTGCTAATCAGGCTCAGCTAATAGCTAACGTAGGTAAGGTAGACACCCTCAAGAACAATCCATGGGGGGGTGCCTGGATAACCGTTAGATAAGACTCAACTTCCCTTATTACACACGGGGTGGACATTTTAAGGAAGGAGGAGTAGGACGGAATGAAGTCCGCCAAAGCAACTGCCAAGACATGGCGTGACGGATCCTTTTCTTTATTTTTAGGCTCCTTATCCGAGCAACTTTGAACTCTAAAATTGCCCCGCCACACCAGACATGCTTATTTATTCTTCTTTCCCTCATGATTACAACATAGGTGAAAGCCGATTGGCTAGGACATTGAAGATTTAGCCAAGCCAAGCCAAACCATACAGATTTTATTTTAATCCCCGCAAAAATGAAATTGTGCAATTTTGAGATGCACTCCACGATGAACAGGGGTTTGCCGAATCTCTAAAGTATCATATCATACCTTATCACATCTTGCGCAGAACCAGAATGCTGGGCTCGCGTGCTCTGAACAGTCTGTCGTGCCGAAATCTAGAACTCCCATGTGTCCTATCCTGCCCGGGTTCCGGGGTTACAGAGATTGCTAGTGGATCTTTGGCCGAAAGAAGAAGCGCTAAGCACGCCAAGCCAATAATACGGGAGAATTCTTGAAATTTTTAGCCAATGAAATGAGAGCTTACCGTGTGAGCTGGTGGCATAATCCTGCAGGACCCCGGACCCAGGAAGAAAATATACTTTCGCTTCATCAACTGACCGCTCTCTTCATATGCAAGCAATCATCATTTGTGTAACTTTCATCACAACAAGGTTTAGACTCGGCTCAGCTCGGAGGTCGGCAGAGTACGATGATGATACAATTGATCCGACATTCTATCCGACATTTGATACGGCTTATACTCGTAAGGAGTCAAAGAATGATTCATCGGTTATGGATGATCCTACGGGCTCCTTCGGCTCTGCATTCATACGCTGGGTTGTATGTGTGCAAACAACAACCCTAGCTGAAGGCTGTCTTTTCTATGGCTTGTCAGTCATACTCTAGGACCCAGGAAGCAGAGGTTGGTGCGGGTAATGCACATGTGCAGACTGCAGTAATCCTTCGCCGGTCCCGTCTTATGCTTCATGCAGCCATGAACCCCCACCTATCGTGTCTCGAGCAAGCCAGCCTCGTCTTCTACTTAGCCATGCGCTCGTGAGAGCTACTCGACATGCTCAAATGAGGTTAGTGTCTTTCTTACGCCAACGAAGCCGATACTGAAGGCTCTTCTGCTACGCGGGGTTGAGGGTGTATAGACCTTACATGTGGCTGTAGGATTCCTACAGAGAAACTGGGCTGAAAACGGTTGAAAACGGTAGGGAGGTCGGACTACAGGCGCCGTAGTAACGCGCCAATTGAATATCCTTCTTACAGTTCGCAGACTGCAGGAACCCTCTCGGCCTTCTGCAGGAACCACGAAACAGTACTTCGATACGAGGACTCGATGCAAGCCCATTCCGGTTTTTTGCAGGTCGTGGAGCCAAGTGAGCCTTTTGAACTAAGGAGATGCACCAGCACCGTAGCAAGATCCAGTAATTGATTATGTTCTTGGCCTAGACAAGTGACCCATGTTCCCTTTTGAGGATGGGGACACTCACACAACGCTTCCCCATGCGCGGCGCCTATCTTGTCCGTTCGGCAAATCTAGATGTCAGCTTCGTCCTAAGGGTGTGGGCTGGCAGACATAAGACCTGAGCCGACAAAGGCTGTAGGTACGCGCTGCTTGCAGATCATGAAGCTGACATGGCTGCCACACTTCCAATTCGGGGTGTAGCGGCCATCTAAAGGACGCAACCTTGTCTCCGCGTCACTTCGGAAAATGAGGGAAGTGGCCTTTGCACTTATTGATTCACCCACATAGGATAACGCTATGATCCACGCTCCTTTGGCGGACCATCTATCGTCGTTGAATAGGCTCCTTGAAATCAGGGTTAGGGTTATTCTTATGCACTCCTACTTTCGACAATAGGAGTCCAATCGTTGGAGACTCAAGCAGGAGGAAGATATTGTAGGGTGACATATCAAACTCGTTAGATGCCACGTTCACGAACCAAGCAAAATGACAGTGCTTGCTGAAGAGTCTCTCTGCCCTCTTTCCACTTTCTCTTCCTCCTTTCTCGACGGGGTCTCCTCGTCTCTCTGGTTCTCACATCCATCCGCTTGCGCAAAATGACTCATCTCCCTAAGCTTCCTTCCATACTTGATAAACACCACAGGGGTAACGCAAGCCATCGTTGCAACAGCTGCGAAGATGCTTGTTGCAACGTTACCACCCAAGCTAGTGTACATGCTGTCAGTAAATAGCGGAAATACGGCAGCCATGAGCGTGCGCGACAGGCTGAGAGCAGAGCAAGCAGAAGCTGCGTAGGGTCCATACGAGTCGGTAAGGTAGCCAAAAAGTATGTAAGAAAGGTCGTTGGTCGCGTAGCCGACTAGCACCAGCCCGATCATGGACACTGTCCAGTGGACGTGCGGTACAAGAGGTGGTATGGTCCAAGCGAAGAGCCAAAGGCCTACAGCGAGAGCGGGGCAGGCCGTGACTAAGGAGCTGACTTTGGCTTCGGGGCGGAGGGAACTTTTTTTGCGACAGCGGGTGAAAACTCTCTGGTCGTAAATACGAGGAAGGACGTTTACCAGTAGGCCAATTAGAATGGGAACGAAGGATAGCGATGATGTCGTGGACTCAGCGAAGCCCAATTCTGTGTATACGACATTAAGACCTTCGGTGAGCCCATAGATGAGGCTAAAGGATATGGCCATCAGGGCGGCGCAGCTGAAAACGATGGGCTCGGTGGCCAGGAACTTCAGAGGACGAAAGAGGCAATCTTGTGCGAAGGATCGTAGTGTGATATTTCGCCTCTCAGCGATGCGGAGAGCATTGTTGCCAGCCCTCTTCTGTACTGCCTTGACTTTCAACTCTAAGAGGTACCTGGTACGACTCTCGTGGAGAAACAATGAGGCGATGATGCCGATCCCAGAGACGATGGTGGAAATGTAGAAGACCCAACGCCATCCAGCGTATGTGGTCACGTAAGCGGAGTAGATGGGTCCCAATACCAGGCCCATATTCCCTGCCAAGGTGTAGATATAGACTATCCAAATCCGTGTTTCGCTTTCGTACAGATCTTCGAAGCTGCCGAAGGCGACAGTGGCAGGAATGGCAGAGGCAAAGCCTGTGAAGAACCGTCCGAAGCATACCGCAATGACTGAAGGTACAGCTGCTATAATGGCGCTGAAGATACAATAGACTGTGATCGCGACGATGTAGAGCGTGCGTCGGCCAAACGTTTCGGAGATGGGTGAACAGAAGATGCTTCCTATCGCTTGTCCGATAAGGTATCTGCAGCTTGTCAACTGGTCACGCCACCTAGAAAGCGCAAACAGCATCTCTCACAGCGATGTGAACACAAAATAGCCCACTGTTCTGCTGATGCAATAATCCTTGCGGCCTGAATTGGATGTAGCAGTCTATGAGGGTAGTCCTCAGCGACGCTTTCATCGATAATGAAGGAAGAAAGCATACCCCAGATGAACTTATCGCTGTCATCCAAAACTCGAAGAAGCAAACCAGGCCGACATTGTATGCCTTCTTCGTAATGATCCAATTTCGCGGGTGCTGCTTTTCATCGAGCTTCCATTCGACGAAGCCATCATTTCCAAGCTGCAGGCCATGATTATTCAGCTCGTTGTGAGGGTCTTTCCTCTTCTCATACGATGAGGAATCCACCATCACAATGGCTCTGGAATAGCACGTCAATACAAGCACGCAACTGGGGCCAACTGGAAGCAGTCGCTGATCATTTTTTCGCAGTAGTCATGGTTGTGCGAGGAGGAATGGTATGCGGCGGATGATAGGCAGTTTTGAGTCCATGGCGTCAACTGGTAATGTGACAGCAGCCACCAAAGCCCCCGTTGAGGAGAAACCTTATCGTGATAGCCTTTCAAAACGCCAGCCGAAAGCCTACTGGCCGAGGGGATGTAGTTTGTCTGTGCGGAGACGATGGATCAACTTGCTTTACCCAATGCTACGGCCTCACTCCAGACTGCGCTCTCGGAATGCCACGCCCTCCAAGGAGGCCGGGCGTGAAGTGCCATCATGACGAATACTAAGCTTGAGGAGACCATGGACGTCATCTGGATTGCCTTAAGACTGTGCAAAGATGTAGAAAGCCAAGGTGATATTCGGTTCAAGATACGTGACTATCGGAGAAAGGTAAGGTAATGAATGCCAATTTGACGGAAGGCCTAGTTACAACTAGTGTGTACTCAAGGCGGGGCCACCTAAGCCTAATTGAGTAAAGGTCGCCCAAGACCACCACTTCACTGCTTGACAACGTGGACAATTTTAAACATACTTTCTGTTACAAAATTATAGAAGAGTATCAGCAGAAGATATGTTATACCAGAATGTTCTTCATAATGGTCTTGGTTGAGAAGTTATTGAGGATGGGGAGAAAAGATGCGCTTTTCCCAGATAGGTTAAGTGGCCAGATATTATAGAAACCGGCTTGAGTACCTTACCGTACTTTAAAACACTACTCGTAGCGGCTTACGCCAGAGATCTTCCCGCCCCAAATCTTGCCAGATAGATGTCCAGCTTCCATTGACTTCAATCGTCGATTCTATAATGTATCGGCTTGAAGCTTCCACCGTTTGACTGCAATGCCGAACAAGCCGTCAACGCCATCGTCAAGTCCATCTCAGCCTCGAATGTAATGTGATCACCCGCTTTACTCTTCGGCGGATCAACGCACAGCTGGCCCGTGGTTCCATCAATCGCCACATTCATGAAGCAATTGAAGGCGACAGGTATACGATCGGATGAGATGCCGTATGGCATCAGCGCAGTGGATAGGTTGCCAAAGCAGCCATGGTGCGGCTCTTTGTCGCCGTAGATGATGCGGAAGGTGTCCTTGCTACATGGCGTGAGGAGGAAATCGTGTCGGCCGACAGAATCTTCGATGATGCGCAACATCACGTTGCTACGGTTCGAGTACAGCGGATCGCCTTTGGTGAGGTAGATGCGGCTAGCGTAGTCGAGAGTACGTCCTGAGGAAATGACCTCGTCAAGGTCGTGGGTGTTGAACGCGAGCAAATCGGAGACCTGTTCACCCCGTGGATCGATGACTGTCAGCCGTTGACCTTTCTTCATGGTGAAGGCTCTGCCTGATCGAGATGGTATCATGACGGTTTGGCCTGGAGCTAATTGCTCAGATTGGTCGCTGGTGGCCATTCCTCCAGAAAAGACCGTTTGGATTCGGCTCGGGGAGAAGGAATTTCCAGCAGCTTTGGTAGAGTACGAGGCATCAAAGATGAGTCTTCACCGTAAGAATACAAAGCACCGATTCCAATCTCAATGTCAATCTGATTGATGATAGCAAACACCAAGCACTTCAGATTCCGCTGAATTGCAATGGTGCATCAATCTTTTGAATTGCGTCAACACAAATGTTACGAAGGGGACATGCGGCCTTTGCCTTCCGAGTACGAACACATCGCGGATGGCTCAATTCTAGCTTTACCTTTGACTCGACTGTCAGATTCTGGGGAAAGCTTAGCATTCTCGACTCTGTCCACAAATCGGGCCAAACGCAACGCCCTTGCTCTTTACGTCACTAGGGTCGGACGTTTCGCGTAGTGGGTTTGTTTAGAACAACCACTAATGACGATATACTGTCAAACAGAGCTCTGCTGACATCGGAATGGTATCCGAGAACCGCATTCTCGCCAGTCTCACAACGTAAGCCGAGACCAACTCTACTACAACTACCGTCCTTCTGCGTTACCGAGATCTTGTGATGAACCTAAAACTCTCAATGTCGGTCTGAAAGACATGTCAATGGCGTCAACTACACGTAGTTTCCTGCCGTGGAGATGTCTTTTCAACGTCATCTGACGCAGCTTCGGCTTGGTTGTTGGGTCATGCTAGCCTACTATATAATCCTCGTCTTCTCTTCAGCAGTATGTCAGTCTGAATGAAATCCACCTTCAGCCCCTGAATACATCTTCGGAAAACGAGCGCCATGCTACTTACATTAAGTGTCCTCTCCTTCTTCTTCGGCTTCGTGGTTGCAGCGGTCGTGACTTCGAGGCCGAAACATGCTCGTTCCACTTTGGATGATTCATTGAGCAAGCTTCGTCATGTCACGAACGCATTCAGACCACGCGCGTCTTGCAACCACGATTCGCCAATCAGCGTTGAGAAAGGTCTGATACAGACTGACGATGCGGATCTCCTGACGAAGTAAAACAATGTTTCATCACCTAGCCTCAAGCACGCTGCTAAAATGATCATAGAGCTCAGTGCGAAGAGCTTCCAGGCGATAGCTGGCGGCGTCAAGCATACGAGGAGATAAAATCGATCCTCGTTGCACGAAAGCCAGGAGCCAAGAAATTTCCCTGCATCTACGCCACGACCGGCTACAGACACAACGAGCACCGTTACATCTTCATGCACTCGGAAGACCCAACCGAGCCGCGCAACCTCCGCCTCCTCGCCAACGCAATGCGGGCCTACCTCCCACAATCCCACTCGCTAGGGCCAAATACCAGTCTTGTCATCATTCACCCCAGATCCAGCACACAAAACTCGGTAGAGTCCTACCAACAAAGATTCTGGGATCTACTTCGAGGTTTGCGGACATGCGATCTACAGCCGTGGCCCTCAGACATCCCTTCAGAAACGCATGCCCCCAAATGGGCCTTTTGCTTCAACGGAGTGCCCTGGTTCCCCCGCCGCAATGACACCCGCGCACGAGCAGCGGCGGTCTCGTCACGCGCCCTACTTCACAGTTGCCATGCAGCCGAAATGGGTCTTTGACAATCTTTTCAGAACACCGGAGAAACGACGAGCCGCAGTAGGCGCAGTCAGGAAGCTGATGCCTGCTTACGATGAGATTGAACCAAGTCCGGATTTGTCCGCGTATGGGACTGAGGGCACGACCGAGGCGCATCAGTATTATTTACTGGACGAGAACAAGACGAGTTGTTGTCCGTATGAGGACCTCGACAGGTGAATGCAAGCCTAACTGAGCGGTGCGAAGATACTCGTGAAGATTCACAAAAGTCAGTAGTGATGATCCCGGTTATTCCATACTTTGGATTAAATAGTGTACCGGTGTGTATGGCAGTGGTAATGGAAGTATACAGCACAAGATTGTGAGATGGAAATATATAAGATTACGTGCCAGATGCTGCTATCTATTACGACTTACTCTTCTATAGTTTCCGTGACTATGCACCACAGTACTCGGTCAACCCTTTGTTCATGCCCTTTTGTTTTAAGTTATGCACCAAAGATGAGCAAATCTCTGGACTCGCTTACCAAATCCAGTGCCTGACCCCAGGATAGGAAGATGTCGAATACAAAGCCCACCAAAAAGTAGAAGAAAAATGACTGTGAGGACAGATTCCGTCCTCGCAGAAAGCACAAACTCAACCGAATAAGCACCTACAACCCAAGTCCCCACAAACCCTCCGCGCCTCGCCAAAGCACACCCCTCCCCAAACACCCCCACACTCAACTATCCAAACCCCACCCCACCCACCACAGACGCCCCCCTCCGCCAACGCCAAAAACACCCCACACCCTCCATCACGCCCATCAAGACCTGCCCCAGCCGCGACTGCAACAACGCATTCAACGCCGCAGCGCCGGTCTCCAAAGTGTACGAGAGTTCCGACGGTTAGAAAAGGAGGGCGACCGAGTTGGCGGCCGGGGGGATGTCGATGGTGGAAGATTGGACGACGGAGGTGTCGACGGGGGAGGATCTGCGCGGCGGCGGCGGTTGTGAGGTTGAAAAAGACGTTGGCGGAGGCGGCGGTGCGGGTGAGGAGGAAAAGGGTGGTGCTGATGGTTGTGATGTAGGCCTTTACGGCCGTGAGGTAGGTAAGCAAGTGCGTGTGTAAGCTTCTTCATGGTACTTACAATCGTAAACTTTGGATACATAGGGAAAGATATTCTGATGCGGAGTGGCGTGTCATCCAATCTTCACAGAGAAAACTTTTACTGTCGATACTATGCGCGCCCTAATACATCATGGCCGAATTATCCACACCACCCGCCGGCGCCGCACAATCCGTCGGATTCACACTCGAACGATCCGCAGCGCTGCCGCCACTAGCCTGCTGCAAGAAGCATGAAAGACCATATCTGGCCATCTTCACACGATTGAACCTTCGTCGCCGTTGTTGATGGGACCGCGCGCTTCTACTCTTCAATCTGGGCTCCGGTGTTGGTGATGTAGCCGGTTCGTGTTGAGGGTGAACCGACATGAGGGGAGAGACCGGTTCTGGGGTCGTTGCAGTTGACGATGGTGGCGCGTTTGCGGAGGGGAGAGGAGGGGGATGCTGAGGAGGAAGAGGGTGGGGAGTGGGGGAGTGCATGATTGTGGTGGTTGTGGTATGTAAAAGCGGGCTGGTACTCTACGAGTTGGCGAGGGTGGGGGTTGGAGTTTTGGATGCAATGGGTGAGGTGGTGGGGAAATGGTGTGATGGAAGGAATGTGTGGATATGGTACGAAGTTTGTGGTGAGGTATGAGTGGGTGAAGATGAGTTTCCACGAGGTGACAAGCTCGTCTAATACCACTCGTAGTATCGCTTTGGCTTCAATGTTTCCAGTACCCTGTCCCATTCTTGGACATGCGATGACGACGACGGTAGGTAGGGGGATGGGCCGCGGAAGTCCTGCGTGCAGAATTGAGCCATGGTGGATTTCAGAATTTTGTGTTTTGATCAAGTGATGGAGCAAGTGCTGGTTAGAGCACGTGCCCAGCAGTTGCGGCCATCTCGGGAACCCCAAACAAAGCAAAACATTCTCAATATGGCACTAGCAGACACCGATCAGGATTTGATGGCATACACACAGCCTCGCCGCCTTTTGAGCAACCGGTCTGTCGCATGCTTAGGTGTGGTTGACGAGCTACTCCAACATTTGATTTGATGTGAGTTGTTGCATGGTTCGGCTATCTCGATTCTCACGTCCATTCCGTTCCGTTTCTTAGTCATCTTTAGATTCGACATCTTTCTACCATAGGCCGATAAGCACATGTTAAACATACTATGAGGGCCTCAAGGATGATGTTATCGAGCTACTGCCGTTGAATCCTGTTCTTCCACGAATAGCGGCAGCTCCAAGCTTAGAATAAGGATGTCAGAGCTCAAACCTTGTAAGCCCGATCTCTGTATCTGCGTTTTGGAGTCCACGTTTGTCACACGCCACTCTGCATCGCCCCATAAGACAGTACTGATGCTTGTTGCAACAATTTCAGCAGGAAGATGTAGAGTGACAGGCCCTGTCATGTCCTGGTAGTCCGAATTGACGATGCTCAGAAGGATGGAGTTCCCAACCCTCCATGCGCTTGCATCGACCGCGCTGGTCCCATCGACAGCCAGGCCCGTTATGATATCAGCTCCAAGCAAGTATTCAGCGCAAGTGCCTGTCAGCACCTTCGCCAGCCTACTCGTAACATCGGTCAAGTCTGGCGTCGTCGGAAACGTCCACATAATAATACCCTTAGCGCCATGGTTGACACTCAACAGAGTCATAGCAACTTCCTCTTCCGGTGTCGGCGTTTGCTTCCAAAACTCTGAATTGCCAAAAGCCTGCGGTGTACCCCAGAGGACCTTTGGCGGGAGGCCAAGCTGCATTTGGTATTCGCGATAGATGTCTAGGCGGGCAGGGACGTTGGACAGGTTGTTGTAGCCTTGGCAATTGTCGCAGCCGCAGCAGCCATAGGTGGAGTTGCAGACGGTGCTGCAAACGAAAACGTTCAGCATCCCGAATGTTGTGGAGAGAGGATGGAGAGAGCTTACCCATATTGGGTGGACCATGACGTGTTTGTGCCAATGGGATAAACATCAGAGAGGATGATGTCAGCGCCTGTAGAGTATTCTTGATAATGATAGTTCTCGCAGTTTAGGCAAAGTGAAACGGGATGATATGGGTCAAGGGATTTGATCTGATCATATGCTCGCTTGGGTGCATTCAACGCATCCACTTGCCCATCTGGAACACGTGTTGTCAGCTCGCAGCCAGAGCACTGAAGCATCCAGGGAGCGTACCTGGCTCGTCTGCGGTATACCAAAGGAGCATATTCGGTCTTCTCTTCAATTGATTGACCTGCCAGTCTACACCTGATGCGTTCTGGTACTGCCACCTCATGTCGAACATAATCCATAAGCCAAGCTGTTGCGCTTGATCGAGCCATTCATCCAGCTGCTCGAAATCGTAACCAAGACCGCCTGCAGGGACAATGTGAAGTACATTGTAGCCATAGTTCTTCAGGACGTTCATATTCTTTGGATCTTCGCCGAGCCAATTTCCGTCAAGATAGAAAGAGTACGGAAACAGCGGGGTCCATGCGCCAGAACTACTATTAGATATAGTGGTAGCCTTTACAAGTAACCCACCGTGAAGGCTGTCAATCTTGGTAACACTTCCGCCATCAGAACGACTTGGCAGTCGCAAAATTTGCGTTGACGCCATGTAGATATGGTTATTCGGGGCCATAGCCACGACTGAAAGGTTGTATGGCTCAAATCTAGGTTCAAATTCGCTCAGATCGAAGTCAAACAAAGTGCCCGTCGAGTTCAATTTGACTGTGGCATAAGAGATAGGTCGAATCGCATCATCTGATCTGTTGACATAGAACGATATTGTGTTGTATTCGGAAACATTAGATAAGAGCTTCAAAGCTCCGTCATTCTGTTGGCCAAAGAGTGTGTTATCGTAGGGCTGTCCATAGAAGTACGAAAGCTGTATTTGATGGATCATGTTAGCTTCAAGATTCTTCTGTATGAGTTAGGTCTTCTTACAGGAGCATCAACGATGAAAGTCCCAACAATGTCCTCTTCGAGATAAGGCTGCGCACGCGGACGGATTTTCAGGTTGAGCAATGGGGCAGGCGATCTGGGTGGTGCAACGATTCGTCCTCCAGGGTCAACGGCGGGGTCACTAGAGCATGCAAAGCTTAGCCAGCGACTCCAACTGGTCATGATGCACAATAGAAAGATTCACACCTGGATCTGTATGCTTTCCCGCACCAGGTATCCACAGCCAGGGTGAAGCGGCCGAGGTGCAAAGACAAGAAGGCCAACGGTAGCTGTACGCCGAGTCTCATGGTGCACTTCTTATGATTGCCCCAGCGATAAGAGTGGTAACGTGAAGGGAGGCTCTACTATCAAGAGGTCGAAGTACTAGCAAGAGGGCACTGGTGGGCATCTTTGAAACCCCATTGATTCGTCGCGCATACGACAAAGCGGGAATAGGTGACAGCCGACACATTCGCAGCTTCTACTGATTGATCTCGCATAGAAAAGGACCTCGGAAGTACGGTGAGCTCTGTTTTGCTGCTATTTGGTTTGGTCGCCGCGAATGGAGATCAATGCATACTTTAGGATGGCGCTGAGGGGCTTAGCTTGGCTAAGCACTAGACTAGTGCGTCTTGTTATCTCCCACACGCACACACGCAAACTCCTCAACGGCGCTAGTAGCAGCCCTAACCCTACCTCACTCTTCTGAAGGAGTAGCAGAGGACCCTAGAACTGTTTGTGGGAGCGCATCTATTGAATTTCAAAGACATCTATTAATCGTGTTTGGTACAATCAACCCCAACACGAGCTCAATTGGACGCAGTTCCCATTGGAATTGAAAAGAGATTATGGATTTAGTAGCTATCTAAGTGTGATGTAGGCCTTAAATACTATGCAAAACCACGCTAGTGCCATATTGTCATTGCCACCATGAAGGGTAGCTACAACACACTATGGTGCTGCAGCATGATTTCAGTGGTATCCTCAGGCTGTTGTTGCTGAATTGACTGCATTGGCTGTTGTTGAGGCTGACGTGGAGGGCCGTCGCTTGGAGTGGGGGAGGGTGGACTGGAATGGTATCCTCGACAATTGAAGTGGGGGGAGGGTGGACTGGAGTGATATCCTCGACAATTGGAGTGGGGGGAGGGTGGACTGGAGTGATATCCTCGACAATTGGAGTGGGGGAGGGTGGACTGGAGTGGTATCTTCGACAATTGGTTGATAAGGTGGTTGCGGGGGAGAGGAACAGTGTTCTCCGGTCGATAAGGCTGCCGATAAGGCGGTTGCGGGGGAGAGGAGTAGTGTTCTCCGGTCGATAAGGCTGTTGTTCCTGCATTGGTTGAACCGGTTGCTGTGGCTGAACTGGCTGTTGCTGAGGAGGGTAAGATTGGAACTGCTTTGGTGGAGGACGTTCTTCGTCGTTCGGTGGCCATGGGTCGTTCGGTGGCCATGGGATATCTTCCTGAACCACATTTGCCATGCTTGAGCTATGAAAATCCCTCTCCCTTTTAAAAAAAAGAGGCGTGGCCCCCATACAAAATCTCGGGGGATGAAAATCACCCTTACAAGAACCACAAAATCCTCTCTCAC